TAATTTTCATAGTTAGAAGTTCTCTCGCTCCGTCTTTGTTTTGTCAACATTTAACGTCTGTTACATGCACCATCAAATCTAAAAGAGATTCACTATGACCGGTTCTATTTTAAACGAAGTCTGAAGCGCTAAATTTTTACATTCCCTGTGACTTAGAGTGCACGTTATTAAACCAAACTGGTACACAACGCAACTTTTCTGGCACAAATGTTTAACAAGTTTGAAGCACGTTAATTTGAAAATAATTTTAAAAATGATGAAACTTCGGTGAGCATAAATTACTGTCACATTAATATACATTCTGACAAAGAAACTGGTCTTACTTTCTAATTTTGGTAAAAATTGGAATCGAGTAAACTTTTCAGTTTCGAAAGACTTGATGCATAAGATTTCGAGAGTTCCTTTTGGAACCTTTTTTCCACTCGCGCGATCGCATACAAACTAACTTAGGTTGGCGAGCGCGCGTGTAGAACGATGTGAAAATAACACGAGTTACGGTTGACTCCGAAAGAAGTAACTGTATGGTATTTACACAGGTGTCACATCTTCTCGCGTTGCCACAAGTCTCTCTGAGCAAATGTGCCTCTATCGTTGTCACCAGGATATCTTCGAGCGAGTTACCTGCGGAGTGACGAGCTCTCCGCCACAGGTTCCCCGTAACTTTTACGGGCCGATCTCTCACACCAACACCCAATCCCCGTTTTATTAGCGGACAACCAGTAAAACACCTCTACAAAAAGTTATTGTTTGAAAACCACCTCCCAGATCGCGCGCCAACAGATAACGTGACAAATAAGCACGCAGAGAACCAATCAGAATCGATAGTGTTGTTAAGTCTATTGTAAATACGATTAATGCTTAAAAGGGAAAAACAGAAAACCAATTAGACTGGAGAGTTTTGTTACGGTTTTTATTGAGGGCAGCTAGACTCATCTGGTTATCATTGCGATATTCATCAGATGTAGTATCTTATTTTTTTCTTTTTCTAATATCAACTGAAGGCAAATCACAACTGCGAGTCGAGCTTTCAGTTTTAATCTGAAAATTAACGCTAAATTTTCTTAGCAATTGCATCGACATTTTGTTATGCATGAAGAAGGCAAGATCTTCGAGGAAATCTTAATCGGTTCGTTCGCTACAGTGGCTACTGGATATAATATAATAAGT